AAAGATAATCCAGGGGATAGCTGACTATGGCTTGGAAGCTAAATCCAGCCCATGGCTCATTTTTGCATAGCTTTAAGAGAAGGACTTTTTTTTTTTTTTTTTTTTTTTTTTTACATTTTAAACTCTTATTTTTAAAAACCACAGCAATATGCCACAGAATCTATGTGGCCCACAAAGACTAAAACATTTATTGCCAAGCCTGTTAAAAAAAATTCATGACCCTGTGTTAATCTAATATCTACTATTCTGCATTACATTAAGGCATACATTTTCAACCAATATTTAATTTATTTACTCACAGACTGAAAAGTATGGATTACTTTCTGATCTTACCCTATCCCCTTAAGAAAACATCCAGCTTTACCAAACCATGTTTTCAGTCTGAGAAACTTGTCCCAGGGCTTAAATGAATACAGAAACATATATCTGAGGTAGGAGATTGTCAGGACTTGTTTCTGGTCATAACCCTGCTGACTAAAACAGGATCTGATTCAGACAGAATAAAGTGGATAAACTGGCAGAAACCAGCAGATGGCCACAAGGGTGATCCCTGGCTGCCCTTATTGCTTATTAGCATGAGACACTCCCACCAGCACCATCACAGTTTACAAATGCCATGGCAATGACCTGGAAGTTACAACAGCTTCCCATGGCAATGGCCTGGAAGTTACCACCTTTCATAGAAAGTTCTAAATATCTCACCCCTCAACTTGCATTAACCTGCCCTTAATGTACGTATCAGTCAATAGAAATGTGTTTGCAAAGACCCCATAGGTTGGTGACTCTGAGTGTAGTGCCTATGAGTCAGCCCTGCTCTGCAAGAAGCAGTTCCATTCAATAAAGGATTGCTGTCTGACACTACCAGCTCACACTTGAAATCTCTCCTGGGCAAAGCCAAGAGCGGTGTCAGGATAAGCTTCAATTTTGGGGCTAGCCTATCCTGCATCAGTTTCAAAGGGAGAATTTTTCCAAGTATTCCATGACTCTGTATTTCTCAAGGTCATTTAAAACAAAGTCAATATCTCAGAATCTTTCATTCTATGTCTTGGTCAATGTGTCATTTATGTAAGCCTGATGGTGACATACCTCAAGTGTAACGACTGTTAGTCTATTATAAATGCAGTAGAATTATTGCCCAGTAAAACGTAACATCAAATATCCATATTTAATTGCATTGGACTCCTCCAAGTACTTACAGGAAAGTTGGTAAGAATATATATTCACACTTGAAAATATTTTGGAATACGTGTAAAATGGATCAAATCCAAATACCACAGATGGCACTGTCACTAGATGCTAATGAAGTACATAGTAGGAACCACAAGAGACAGTCAATAATAAAGGGGGGAAATGAAAGGGAACACATCAAAGCACCATCAGACGAGTGCAGAAGTACACACATGAACACACCCTGTAGCTGCAGAAACACATGGTAGGAACTAAAGACCCACCACTAATTAGATTTTTTCTCACCAACTCAGGAGTTCGCAAATGAGTTTGCTAAGGGTCAAATGCCCACAATAAAACTGACCAATTTAAACATCACTGAGAGTTACTTAAACCATTATGTAGAAAGCTACAGACAACAGTGAATTTATTCTGAGCAAGTCTTAATCCATCATCTTCACAGATGGCTAAAGAAAGGGCCTCTAAACATTTTGTCTCGTAATCTCTAAGGTAGTGACCTTCAAACTCTTTTATTATAATGCATGAGAAATACACAGTTTGTATATATTTCAGTACACAAATGAAATATAAGTATGTATATGTGGGTATGCCATGTATTTGTATATTTTGTATGCAATGGATACTATTTACTAATTATTTTATCTCATTTCTTTAAAATTATCATTCTTTGAACTCATCCAGCTGGTCAAGGGTTATCTCCCACAAGAATGGTGGGAAGAAGCTTAAATTTGGCATGAGGTTAAACATCGCCCTTTTAAGCTGGAGTGTGGCTACTCAGTAATCATTAAAATCCAGGTCTCCGTGAAGCACAACTATGCAGCCATCTGATGCTGTGACTTTGATCGTGTGCTAATTAGTTGCTCACAGAAAGTCTAAATCCAGAAATCACTATCTCCCATTCTTTGAGAACTTCTGAGTGCACTATACTAAAAACTAGAATTAACAAGAAAGATAAAAGATACACTAAATATTAGGTCAGGATTATGACAGCTCTTATTCCAAAAAAGAAACAAAAACAAAACAAAACAAAACAAAACCAAAACGAGGACCGGGTGCGGTGGCTCACGCCTGTAACCCCAGCACTTTGGGAGGCCAAGGTGGGTGGATCACTAGGTCAGGAGTTCAAGACCTGCCTGGCCAACATGGTGGAACCCCATCTCTACTAAAAATACAAAAATTAGCCAGGAGTGGTAGCGCATGCCTGTAGTCCCAGCTACTCGGGAGGCCAAGGCAGGAGAATCACTTGAACCTGGGAGGTGGAGGTTGCAGTGAGCCGAGATTGTGCCACGGCACTCCAACCTGGGTGACAGAGTGAGACTTCATCTAAACAAACAAACGAACACCTTGAAGAACCACAATTCCTACTCAAGCTGCTTTTTAGAGACAGAGAAATTGAGACATCTCTCTTTTCCTACTCAAGGCATTTCCTTAAGGGAAACCCAGCTGGATGGAATATATAGGAGTCACCTCAACTATATTTCCTAATTTACTTACAAAAAGCTACGTCTGATCAGGGCCCCCTTCCTATGCTTCCTTTTCATGTACTATTTCCCACATTAAACTGCTAAGTAATATAAAAGTAAAGACAACAGGAATCATGCACACAGCTTACTGTCTATGTTAGTGTGAGTTTATACTCCACTAGCTTCATCAACATAAGTTTACTAATACAGGAATCTCTTGCTTAGGAAAATAAATGTTGCAAAGAACTTTACTGTTCATTTCAGCAGCTGCCTGAGAGATCCATCAACTCCTCAATAAAAAGTGTCAAATGACGTTTTTCAATCCCAAAACTCTTTGAAGCCCTAGTCTAAAAATCCTTGTCTTGTTGACTCCATCAATCCTAAATCATTATGATTCCTACCCAATTCTAACAAAACTGTCCCCGACTTTAAAAGACCCACTTTACACCAGATTTCAAAATCAGAATAAATGTGCCTAAAGCCAGTCCACATCTGACATACTAGTGGCTCTTTTGAGGTAGTGCTCTTCCTTACAGTGTTATGCAAATAATGTCGGAGCTGCCTTATGAACAGGTTATTTGGATGCTATTTGGGGAGTACAGTTTATGATGAGCACAGTCACTACTGCTGTGCATCATGTCACAGTAGACTGAGCCTAGATCCTACCACCAACATCTATGGAGATTTCTGAACTATACACTGCCTGAATGACCTACAGGTATATTCATGTAAATCTGTTACTATTCCAGAGACTTAAATGTGCAATAACACAACCTAAAAATAGTAAACAGGTGTGTATTTATTTAGTTTGCATTAGAATTTAGTTAAACTCATTGCAAGCATTACAGAAAACACAGAACCAAATAAAAATTGGTTAATCAAAGCATGTATAAAAATTGGCCAAGGTGGGAGGATCACTTGAGCCCAGGAATTCAAGACCAGCCTGAACAACACAGTGAGACCACTGTCTAAAAAAATAAATCAATCAATTGCCCAGGTGTGGTGTCCACACATGTAGTACCAGCCCCTCAGGGGAACTGCTTCTTGAGGATTTCTTGAGCCCAGGAGATCGAGGTTGCAGTGAGGTATGGTCATGCCACTGCCCTCCAGCCTGGGTGACTGAGCGACATCCTGTCTAAAGAAAAGCATTTATGAATATAGATATGAAAATAATTTAGTTCTTTCACAAAAGGTCTTTCTGAAACACGTCCTCCACTAAGGGTGATATGGGACTGTCTGTTCCCAAAGTTTCTGGATGCATGAGAATGGTTGGGCAAGAGACAAAACAAAACAAAACAAAACAAAAAGATCTCTCAAGTCCCTTTCTTTATGTTCCTGAGACCCTGTGGATGTGAGTCTGGGGACAGCAGGAAAACCCTGTCCGGCCCTGCATGTGCCTGACTTAATAATGTGCATGCCCCTTGCTGGGCAAGTCCTTTGTTGCTCATGTGCCTTAGTGTCTGTCTCCTGTCCCTGCAGAGTCCTGACAGATGGTGACTTTTTTTTTTATTTTATTTTATTTTATTTTATTTTATTTATTTTTTATTGTTTTTAGATGGAGTCTGGCTCTGTTTCCCAGGCTGGCGTGCAGTGGCATGATCTTGGCTCACTGCAAACTCCACTTCCCAGGTTCTAGCAATTCTTCCTCAGCCTCCCCAGTGGCTGGGACTACAGGTGCATGCCACCACGTCCGGCTAATTTTTTGAATTTTAGGAGAGATGGGATTTCAACGTGTTGCCCAGGCTGTTCTCGAAATCCTGAGCTCAGACAATCTGTCTGCCTCGGTCTCCCAAAGTGTTAGGATTACAGGCGTGAGCCACTGGGCCTGGCGACAGATGGTGACTTCTTTCGTTCTTGCCAACTAGGATCTAGCCAACAGGTCTGCAGATCATTCCTCCCAGAAGTTGAAGGGGGAGTGAGCGTGAGGAGGGGCGGGTGGTCTTTGCGTGCATCAGGCGACTGGATCCATGGCCATATAGAGAAAAGGGTTTGCGAAGTGGTCATCCTTCTACTAAAAGGCAGTGATGCTGCCATGGCCTCGTCGTCGTGGGGAGACCAGACAAGGGAGGAAGGAGGGCCCTGGAGGGGAGGAGGGTCAGCTGAACGTGGAGTGAGTTGTGAAGGGGTACACTATTTGAGGTCTTTGAGTCCCTAGAGCATATGAATCCGCCCACAGAGGACGGATTTCAACCTCCTTAGTGGGGACCTGGGAAGGAGAGGAGGACTGGACGTGGCGGGACAAGGAGGGGCAACTCAGCCCACAGGACAAAGTCAGATCTCACTGCGCATGCTTCTTGGGTGGCCGCCTCAGTGCGCATGTTCACTAGGCTTCTTCTGTCGACCACTTTGCAGCACGTTGCAAACGCTATGGAGCTGAGAGGTTGTGAGGATTGCTTTCCTGCTGTCTGAACTCTTTCTCCCCTACTGAAACGTAGCGGGTAGGTCCGCAGGGCCATCCTTCTGGGAGGTGAAGTGAGAATGAGTGTGAGGAGGAGCCAGTAAGCTTCTAAATGGGTCAGGCTGCGTGGTCCCTAGCTCAGAGGTAGAAGTGCCTAAAGGTCGTTGTCCTTCTCATGCGGCACCACAGCCATGGGCCTTCTGGTCTTGGCAGGGCCACAACTAGGGAGGAAGGAGGGCCACGGAGTGGAGGGGGGTCAGGCGGAGATGGGGCGACTGCTGGGGTTGCTGTTGGAGGTATCAGAGTCCTGGAAGCATCTGGAACCCCCAACAGAGGACAGATTCCAGACTCCTAGGTGGGGAGTCTGGGTGGGTGGGAAGGAATGGGAAGGGACGAAGTGCGTGGCAAGGAAGGAGCCTAGAAACTGGGAATGCCGTGGGCTGGTGACCACAGCCCTGAGGTCTGTAGAGTGCCTGGCAGAGGTGGCCCGTGAGGAGCAGCCAACGCTGTGTCGCAATTTCTGAACTCCACCATGGAGGTTTGAATGGGCGGGGCTCTGCATTCCAACAAAATTTGATTTTAGGGGGCAAATGGGCCTAGCAAATGGGTGTGTGGGAAAAGCCGTTGTCACTCAAATTTTAATTCTCTAGCTGTATTTTCCTAAATGTCTCCGTGATGGAGAGTTCAATTGTGACACCAAAAACCTTATCAGAAATTTCCTGCGTCTTTGCCAGGAGCCTTAAGACATTGCTGTGCTAGCTTGACCAAGAAGTTGCTTTGCAAGTATACAATTCAGAAGACATACACACACATTTGCCCCTGGGACTTACTTTCAAAGTTTTTCCAAATTAAAAAAAAATTACAAGTTAACATTTGTCCATAAAAGTGGCCAAATATAGCTATCCTCTCAAGTGCATTTTCCCAATCACCATATTCTGTTTGCAGAGTGAAATATAAGGTACCAAGGAGGATCAACATATAGGCCTATACCAAGATGAAGTTTATGACCTTCTGAGCTGACTGTGCCTCTGCTTGTGAGTGCCTTAACATTCAATATTTTCTATTAGCAGAACGTTATTTTTGTGATAGTGTTGTTAAACTAGTATACATACACTGGTAAAGGTCTTCCGTGCTGATAAAAAAGTGATCATGGCATCTCATGAAGGACAGACTAATCCAAGAGGATTATGTTCTGGTTTTGTCTGAATGGATGATCTTCTGTTCCCCGGTTTTTTGCCCATGACTTCCTTCTTGTGCTTATTGATAACTGATTGCACACATCTGTACCAAGATAGATTAAAATGGCTTCCAAAGCCCTTGAGGGTGACTGTCTTAGAGTAAACTCTCTGTGGGAAGAGTAACTTTATGAAACATTAAGAATATGAAATAGTGTTGGAGAAATGTCTTTAGACTTATGATCAGAAGTATCTATGTATTCTGTATACTTATATTATTGAGATGTATGTCAGTGTATTTACACACACTCACTGCTCCTGGTCCCGGGAGCCCAGTCATGAAGAGTCTCAAGAAGAGGAACCACTAACTGAAAGTCGAGATCCTACACCTGGTCAGGAAAGAGAAGAAGATCAGGGTGCAGCTGAGATTCAAGGTGCTGGGAAGGGAAAAAAAGATGTCTGTGGGAAGGGGAGGAGGCCTATGTGTGCATCACGCATTATGCCATGACCAGTAAGGGGAGGAAAGAAAACATTAGGAAAGGATCGCAAACATTTGCTGAAATTTGGCTGTAAAAGTGAAGAGTATAGTTTGCCATCTTATGCAGTCTCTGGATATAATGAATCTTCTCTTTTTCTTTGCGATCTACTTTGTATGCTTGCAAATACAGTCCTTGCTAAATTAGGACTTAGGTGACCACAGCCTTGAGTTCTGTAGAGCGCTTGGTAGAGGTGTCCAGTGAAGAGCACCCAGCACTGTGTTGCATCTTCTCAACTCCACCCTGGAGATTCGAATGGGAGGGGCTCTGCATTCCAACAAAACTTGAGTTTTGAAACCATCTGATGTAAGAAAATGTACATTATTTCACTAGTGTAATTTGATCTTCTTAGAATGTTGTATCATCTTCTCAGCTGTGGTGTCCACAGTGTTGTATGCACCCTTTAATAGCACGTAGAGTGCCAAGTCACCCTACCTTGTAACACCCTGAATAAAGCCCATTTGCATAGGGATGTTAGCCCCATTTTATAAATAAGAAAACTGAGGCTCATGGGTTGAGGTTTACCAAAGAACACTTGAGTCATGGAGACAGAATTCATATTTCGTTTCAAGATGATGATTCTTCCTATCATCTATGCTGTAAGAGAAAGTGACTGGTTTTGCTTAAGATGCATAATACTCAAATATGGCTGTACTATAAGGTACTTCAGTATTGGCTCAGGACAAAACACAGTTCAGTGAAGCAGGATAGAAATTCCAGAAAAGAGCTCAATGAATGACAGCCACTGTTTCCTTTCATTGGTGTTTTTGACAGTATGTTTGGTAAAAGTTGGATAATTCAGGACACTGGCATATGGGTAGCTATATTAGTATGATTTTGAAGGACTTTTTAAAGTTGTTTAAACACTTTTATAATTAGAAAACTTAAAGTGCCATAAGATTATCATGAAACAGAAATTGTTTCCTCAACAGGTAGCATTTTCAAGGTAAACACTGACAGAATTTGGGCCATGGATTATTTAGCAATTCACTGTTAAGGGGTTTCCAGAATATGGCTGTCCATAATGCTGGTTTGTTTGTTTGTTTATTTATTTATTTATTTATTTTAAATTATACTTTAAGTTCTGGGATGTATGTGCAGAATGTGCAGGTTTGTTACAGAGGTATACACATGCCACGATGGTTTGCTGCACCCATCAACCTGTAATCTACATTGGGTATTTCTTCTAATATTCTCCCTCCCCTAGCGCCCCCAGCCCCCAACAGGCCCTGGTGTGTGATGTTCCCCTCCCTGTGTCCATGTGTTCTCATTGTTCAACTCCCACTTATGAGTGAGAACATGCAGCGTTTGGTTTTCTTTTCCTGTGTTAGTTTGCTGAGAATGATGGTTTCCAGCTTCATCCATGTTCCTGCAAAGGACATGAACTCATCCTTTTTTTTTATGGCTGCGTAATATTCCATGGTGTATATGTGCCACATTTTCTTTATCCAGTCTATCATTGATGGGCATTTGGGTTGGTTCTGTGTCTTTGCTATTGTGAATAGTGCTGCAATAAACATATGTGTGCATGTTTCTTTATAGTAGAATGATTTATAATCCTTTGGGCATATACCCAGCTATTTATTTGCACTCAACTTCCTGTACTCTCACTGTGGGACAGTGATTTTGCTGTTGTTGTTGGTACTTTATTCTCATTGAGATTCATCTATGGAAAGTTACATATAGGGCCTTTGGACCTAAGCATAACTTTAATTAATTTTAACCAGAAAATTTTCAAGTTACTTCAACAAGGGATGGGTGTCACGACTGTATGACTTGTCATAAGCCAGCCAATACATTGATGTAAACTTTCAGAAAATTACATTTAAGTTATGATTAAAATGCTATTTATGTGGCAGACTTCAGATATCTTAGATAGTTGATACTTGCTATTCATAATACACAACGGTAACATATGGAAAATGTAGGTGTAGTGTGGTTTATCCTTAGATTGTCATTTAAAATAAGATTTCAGGCCAGGACCAGTGCCTCATGTATATAATCCCAAAACATTGGGAGGACAAGGCCAGCAGATCCTTGAGCCCAGGAGTTTGAGGCCAGCTGGGCAGCACGGGGAAACCCCATCTCTACCAAAAAATACAAAAATTATACTTGGTGGTGGCATTCACCTGTAGGCTCAGCTACTCGTGAGGCTTAGACAGGAGGATCCGTTGAGCCCAGAAGGTTGGGCCTGCAGTGGGCCGAGGTGGTACCACTGCACTGCAGCCTGGACAGAGTGAGACCCTGCCTCAAAAAACAATTAAATACATAAAATAAGACTTCATAATATGAGAAAATGAAATTGTAACATTTTTGCATCACATTTATTATGACACTAGCCTACAGGTTTTTATTTCATAATCCTGAGGAAAAGAATATTATCATTTCCTTATTTTTATTTTATGTTTGTCTGCTTCAGTTGATAATTTTTGCATTTTTAAGTGTCTGACGTGGAAGCTGATCTCCAAGAGCTGTCTCAGTGAAAGACTGGGAATGAATGCAGAGATGATCCTGATGTCAAGGGGAAGATTCTGCCAAAACTAGAGCATTTTAAAATGCCAGAAGCAGGTACGTTATCCATTAAATGCAAAATTAGGTGCTTTGAGTTTTCTACAAAATTATACTTTTGATAATAAAAAGAGAGAATATTAGTGCCCCTTTAAAAACAGAACTCAAATGCAGACTTTCTTTGAAAGGTAGTTCAGACCCTGAATGCCTGACTGCAAGACTTAAACACTATCAGATACAGAAACAAATTGGGTCAAAGCCATATTGAATCGTCAAATGTGAAAGCATTTTCTTCTGAGTATAACCAACAGCTAACAATTTTCGGATTAGTTTTTAATTTCTATTTTTAAAAAATACATTGTAATACCATTTGTAATACAGTTTGTGTGAAATGTGCTGAGAACTGAAGAGGATTCTAGTACCAGCTCTACCATAATTTGTGAGATTCTTAATGAATCCCATAAATTCTACACCCACGTTTGCTCTTATTGAAAATAGTGAATGAACATCAGATTAAATTCCATTTCAGTGCTGATTTCTGCATGCTGTGGTTTTGTTGGGTAGAATACACAGATACTCGACTTTCATGATTTGTTTATCATAATAATCAGCTTCAGTTCAATTATAATATCTGAATTGAGACTTCATTGCTCCTAAGAAAATAAACAACCACTCTGCTTGATATTTGTTTCTCTATATGGAGACCTTAATGACTGTTCTTGGATTTTGTCAACTTCTGAATTCGGTGGCTCTTAGTGAAGCCTTGAATATCTGAATAATAGAATGGCAGGAGACAGGTTTCTGTGGCACGTGAAGTAGGGAGAATGCATGTAGGTCAGTGAGCATGCTCCTTGCCCTACTGTTAGTCTTCATGAGCTACTGTGTGTAATTAGATTGAAGACACATATAATAGAATCACCTCTAACTATATCATAGATTACATATTACAAATTTCTATCTTGAGATGTCAGTTAATAGGATCTAAAGTTTAAAGTCCGAGGGCACGCCCAAGATGGCCGTATACGAACAGCTCCAGCCTCCAGCTCCCAGCATGAGCGACACAGAAGACGAGTGATTTCTGCATTTTCAACTGAGGTACCGGGTTCATCTCATTGGGGCATGTCGGACAGTTGGTGCTGGTCCGTGGGTACAGCCTGACCAGCAAGAGCTGAAGCAGGGCGAGGCATCACCTCACCTGGGAAGCACAAGGGGGAAGGGAATTCCTTTTCCTAGCCAAAGGAAATTGAGACACACAACACCTGGAAAATCAGGTAACTCCCACCCTAATACTGTGCTTTACCAATGGTCTTAGCAAACGGCACACCAGGAGGATATATCCCACACCTGGCCCAGAGGGTGCCATGCCCACGGAGCCTCCCTCATTGCTAGCACAGCAGTCTGAGATCTAACTGCAAGGCAGCAGCGAGGCTGAGGGAGGGGCACCTGGCATTGCTGAGGCTTAAGTAGGTAAACAAAGCCACTGGGAAGCTCGAATTGGGTGGAGCCCACCACAGCTCAAGGATGCCTGCCTGCCTCTGTAGACTCCACCTCTGGGGACGGGGCATAGCTAAACAAAAAGCAGCAGAAACCTCGGCAGAGGAAAATATCCCTGTCTGACAGCTTTGAAGAGAGCAGTGGATCTCCCAGCATGGAGGTTGAGATCTGAGAACAGACAGACTGCCTGCTTAAGTGGGTCCCTGACCCCTGAGTAGCCTAACTGGGAGACATCCCGCACTAGGTGCAGACTGACACCTCACACCTCACAAGGCTGGGTACAACCCTGAGACGAAGCTTCCAGAGCAAGAATCAGACAGCAACACTCGCTGTTCAGCAACATTCTATCTTCTGCAGCCTCCGCTGCTGATACCCAGGCAAACAAGATCTGGAGTGGACCTCAAGCAAACTCCAACAGACCTACAGCTGAGGGTCCTGACTGTTAGAAGGAAAACTAACAAACAGAAAGGACACCCACACCAAAACCCCATCAGTACATCACCATCATCAAAGACCAAAGGCAGATAAAACCACAAAGATGGGGAAAAAGCAGGGCAGAAAAGCTGGAAATTCAAAAAATCAGAGCGCATCTCCCCCTCCAAAGGAACGCAGCTCATCGCCAGCAATGGAGCAAAACTGGACGGAGAATGACATTGATGAGTCAAGAGAAGAAGGCTTCAGTAAATCAAACTTCTCAGAGCCAAAGGAGGAACTACATAACCAGTGCAAAGAAACTAAAAACCTTGAAAAAAGATTTGACAAATGGCTAACTAGAATAACCAATGTAGAGAAGTCCTTAAAAGAACTGATAGAGATGAAAACCATAACACGAGAACTACGTGACAAATGCACAAGCTTCAGTAACCGAGTTGAACAACTGGAAGAAAGAGTATCAGCGATTGAAGATCAAATGAATGAAATGAAGCGAGAAGATAAGTGTAGAGAAAAAAGAGTAAAAAGAAATGAACAAAGCCTCCAAGAAATATGGGATTACATGAAAAGACCAAATCTACATCTGATTGGTGTGCCTGAAAGTGACGGGGAAAATGGAATCAAGCTGGAAAACACTCTGCAGGATATCATCCAGGAGGACTTCCCCAACCTAGTAAGGCAGGCCATCATTCAAATTCAGGAAATACAGAGAACACTACAAAGATACTCCTTGAGAAGAGCAACTCCAAGACACATAATTGTCAGATTCATCAAAGTTGAAATGAAGGAAAAAATGTTAAGGGCAGTCAGAGACAAAGGTCGGGTTACCCACAAAGGGAAGACCATCAGACTAACCACAGATCTCTCAGCAGAAACTCTACAAGCCAGAAGAGAGTGAGGGCCAATGTTCAACATTCTTAAAGAAAATAATTTTCAACCCAGAATTTCTTATCCAGCCAATCTAAGTTTCATAAGTGAAGGAGAAATAAAATCCTTTACAGACAAGCACATGCTTAGAGATTTTGTCACCACCAGGCCTGCCTTACAAGAGATCCTGAAGGAAGCACTAAACATGGAAAGGAACAATAGGTACCAGCCATTGCAAAAACATGCCAAAATGTAAAGTCCATTGATGCAAGGAAGAAACTGCATCAACTAATGAGCAAAATAACCAGCTAATATCATAATGACAGGATCAAGTCCACACATAACAATATTAACCTTAAATGTAAATGGACTAAATGGTCCAATTAAAAGACATAGACTGGCAAATTGGATAAAAAGTCAAGGCCCATCAGTTTGCTGTATTCAGGAGACCCATCTCACGTGCAGAGACACACATAGGCTCAAAATAAAGGGATGGAGGAAGATCTACCAAGCAAATGGAAAACCAAAAAAAAGCAGGGGTCGCAATCCTAGTCTCTGATAAAAGAGACTTTAAACCATCAAAGATCAAAAGAGACAAAGAAGGCTATTACACAATGGTAAAGGGATCAATTAATCAGGAAGAGCTAAATATCTTAAATATATATGCACCCAATACAGGAGAACCCAGATTCATAAAGCATGTCCTTAGAGACTTACAAAGAGACTTAGACTCCCATACAATAATAACGGGAGACTTTAACACCCCACTGTCAACATTAGACAGATCAACGTGACAGAAAGTCAACAAGGATATCCAGGAATTGAACTCAAGTCTGCACCAAGCAGACCTAATAGACATCTACAGAACTCTCCACTCCGAATCAACAGAATATACATTCTTCTTAGCATCACATCACACTTATTCCAAAATTGACCACATAATTGGAAGTAAAGCACTCCTCAGCAAATGTAAAAGAACAGAAATTATAACAAACTGTCTCTCAGACCACAGTGCAATCAAACTAGAACTCAGGACTAAGAAACTCAAATAAAACCTCTCAACTACATGGAAACTGAACAACCTGGTTCTGAATGACTACTGGGTACATAACAAAATGAAGGCAGAAATAAAGATGTTCTTTGAAACCAATGAGAACAAAGATACAACATACCAGAATCTCTGGGACACATTTAAAGCAGTGTGTAGAGGGAAATATATAGCACTAAATGCCCACAAGAGAGAGCAGGAAAGATCTAAAATTGACACCCTAACATCACAATTAAAAGAACTAGAGAAGCAAAAGCAAACACATTCAAAAGCTAGCAGAAGGCAAGAAATAACTATGATCAGAGAAGAACTGAAGGAGATAGAGACACAAAAAATGCTTCCAAAAATCAATGAATCCAGGAACTGGTTTCTTGAAAATAGCAACAAAATTGATAGACTGCTAGCAAGATTAATAAAGAAGAAAAGAAAGAAGAATCAAATAGATGCAATAAAAAATGATAAAGGGGATATCACCACTAACCCCACAGAAATACAAACTACCATCAGAGAATACTATAAACACCTCTATGCAAATAAACTAGAAAACCTAGAAGAAACGGATAATTTCCTGGACACTTACACTCTCCCAAGACTAAACCAGGAAGAAGTTGAATCCCTGAATAGACCAATAGCAGGCTCTGAAATTGAGGCAATAATTAATAGCCTACCAACCAAAAAAAGTCCAGGACCAGATGGATTCACAGCTGAATTCTACCAGAGTTACAAGGAGGAGTTGGTACCATTCCTTCTCAAACTATTCCAATCAATAGAAAAAGAGGGAATCCTCCCTAACTCATTTTATGAGGCCAACATCATCCTGATACCAAAGCCTGACAGAGATACAACAAAAAAAGAGAATTTTCGACCAATATGTCTGACGAACATCGATGCAAAAATCCTCAATAAAATACTGGCAAACTGAATCTAGCAGCACATCAAAAAGCTTATCCACCATCATCAAGTGGGCTTCATCCCTGGGATGCAAGACTGGTTCAACATATGCAAATCAAGAAACGTAATCCAGCATATAAACAGAACCAAAGACAAAAACCACATGTTTATCTCAATAGATGCAGAAAAGGCCTTTAACAAAATTCAACAGCCCTTTATGCTAAAAACTCTCAATAAATTTGGTATTGATGGGATGTATCTCAAAATAATAAGAGCTATTTATGACAATCCCACAGCCAATATCATACTAAACGGGCAAAAA